TTTGGAACAGGACCAACTGTTTCCTCGTTGTTTAGGAACAGGACCAACTGTTTCCTCGTTGTTTGGGAACAGGACCAACTGTTTCCTCCTAGTTTGGGAACAGAACCAACTGTTTCCTCCTTGTTAGGGAACAGAACCAACTGTTTCCTCGTTGTTTGGGAACAGGACCAACTGTTTCCTCGTTGTTTGGGAACAGGACCAACTGTTTCCTCGTTGTTTGGGAACAGGACCAACTGTTTCCTCGTTGTTTGGGAACAGGACCAACTGTTTCCTCCTTGTTTGGGAACAGGACCAACTGTTTCCTCGTTGTTTGGAAACAGGACCAACTGTTTCCTCGTTGTTTGGGAACAGGACCAACTGTTTCCTCGTTGTTAGGGAACAGAACCAACTGTTTCCTCGTTGTTTGGGAACAGGACCAACTGTTTCCTCCTTATTTGGGAACAGGACCACCTGTTTCCTCGTTGTTTGGGAACAGGACCAATTGTTACCTGACTCGCTATATAAATGCATATTAATCAATTTCGACTGTTTCCCAGACAATTCACCAAACGAACTATAGCTAATGTGTGCTACCGTAAAACTGTTGACTGGTCACCGTAAAACTGTTGACTGGTCACGTGAAACTGTTGCCTGGTCACGTGAAACTGTTGACTGGTCACGTGCAACTGTTGACTGGTCACATGTTAGGTAATCGAACGCACCTATAATTACAAGCACCCCGATGATCAAGCGTTTTTGGTACTGGATTGTTGACGGTCGTCTGTCGGTAGACCTAAACATCACATTCGACCTAGAACTTTTTGGATTTTCATTGTTAAGTAACAAAACAGTTGTTTCATGCCTTATCAGTCAACAGTCAAAACCATTTTCCCTCGGAGTTGGGACCCACCAAATGAACTGTTTCCCTCGGCCTACCGCGTCGGGAAACAATTCATCTGGTGGGTCCCAACTCCTCGGGAAAACAGTTTTGACTGTTGACTGATAAGGCATGAAACAACTGTTTTGTTACTTAACAATGAAAAATAGGACCAACTGTTTCCTAGTTGTTTGGGAACAGTGCAAATTGTTACGACCTCCGGTTAAACTGATCTAGATGATTTGGCAGTCTCCTTGGTAACTGTATTTTGTTGTTGTCTAACTTCATTTTAATTTTTTATTTTACGAGCTGATTTATTATTTAAGATTATCGAAAGGGTCACACCTGAATTTGTATCACTTTAAAGACTGAGATAATAAACACACATTAAATAACTATCGATTCAGCAAATCACATTTGTTACACGTTTATCATCATTAATCCAATATTATTGACGATTTCCATTTTATTTGTTTAAGGCGTGCTTAAATTAATTCAATTTGTTTTTTCCATGTTTGCATGTCAGATCAAAATAACAAAACCTTCGTCGACATGTTAACTCGTAAATCTAGCGCTGTGGGGACACTCCTGTTGTTAAGGATGCTGTAGGGGGTCACGGCAGCGTCTGAAGCTCCAAACACAGTCACATGATATAATGTATTATGTTTCTAAATCTTAAATCTCCTGCAACTGGTGGACGTATTGTACAGGGACCAGACGTTATATATTGTTGATTCAGTATACGATTATCTGTCGATATATCCGTCATAAATTATATGTTTACTGTAAATCGAAAAAAACATGCATTCACCCGTTTTTCAATTTTCTCCTTCTCCACCGATGAACTAAAGGATTGAATTAACACGCAGAACAATACAACACAATCTGGGTTTTTTTTTCTTATTTCGCGGTGTTTTATTTTTCTTGGTATTAGCGACAACAGTTTAATGCTGCAAAATTAAAAACTAACCCGCCAAATTTATAACAAATGGATCATTATTTTACCGTAGCACATTTTGGTATGTCCTGAAGCCTTCAAAATGCAGACAATTAGGGACGAATGTCCAACAACGAAGATTTCGTATTGCTTGTTTACAGTATGAAGTACATTAGAAAAAGTTTTTTATAAACGAAATGCATTTGATTTATATCCATGCCTTCCTTCCATGCATGGAATTTTATCATGCTGATACGAACAGTGTTATGATAGTTAAGGCTCTTCGTCCCGCTTATAAAAAGATACCAGAAAATACAATCGCAGGTTTTTATACATACAGGACCCCCTGACTTTCGTTTATGAAATATATGTTAGGGTTGAGCCAGGGTACTTCCGTTGCTCAAGTTGCTCAATTGGTAAAAATAACTGTATCGTGATAAAAAAAAATCCAGAGCTCCAGAATTCGTCAGTAAGACCAATGTTATTACAATCTGGTTCCCACAGCTGCCTTTAAGGAATAATTCTCCAGTTGACACTCTCTTAATTTCCATCAAATGTCGAGAAGTTGAAATGTTTTATGTGATTTGTTTTAAGTTCGTACATACTCGTCATTATAAAGCCATGACAAATAGGGGACCATCAAAATGACAACCCCTGTCCCGTTAGACCTATAATTATGACGTCTGTCTTGAGAAATCATTTAATGAGAACTGCGTTTGGTATTTCCGTGGATACGTATATAGCTGTCAGTGGCACAGCTGCATCAAAGTCCTTCAAGGTCACAGACTTGCTATCAGTTTTGCTCAACTGTATTCCACCGAAACCTCAGGGTGTTGTGATACAGCTTTGGTAAGGTACCAAAGCGGAATTAAAATCAGCCACGTTTTAAGTTAAAAGTCGTCGAAGAAAGAAAACATGCGTTTTAAGGTAACTTACTTTGTTATCTATTCAAATGTTTCTCCTGACATTAAGACCACATCCTTACAAAGTTGGTAAGCTTAACATTCCTTTAACGTAAACTTTCAAAATGAACTTCTGAGAAATATTTAAATATTTACAAACATATTATTGTCTTTCTTGTTTTGAATAATTCACTATCGATACATCTTCAAGATTTTAAATATCGATCTCCTTAAAATTATAATAGATTAAAGTCTTGCGTTAAGTAAAGTTGAGTGAAGCTAATCGGGGGTTAAGTCTCTGGACCCAGATGTCAACACATATCATTGTTCCGAAAAAAAAATCTTTTAATGCGTGGTAAGCTTAGCTGAAATCGCTGTGGATGTTTTCTTATGCGAAAAATCGACTAAGGGAAATTTAGGATTTTGTTTTAACTATAGGAGCTCATCACTTTATTGTCATGTGATTTAAGTTATCCTGCTGAAAATGACTTAGCATCCTCCATTTAATTTGCAATTAAAGAAATTATAACCATTTAATTAAGGTATTCATAAAATAATAATTATTATGCCTTCTTCACGAATAAAAATATATCACAAAAAAAAAACGTTTTTGTGTAAAATGCAAAACATATTGAAATAACTCTTCATGTACCTCTGCCTTACTTATACCCACCAATCAGATCTCCACTCAGAGCTGTGGGTACTTGGTGTGCTTTTCCTTCGATATAGAAGATGAAGCAATGAAAATGAGTTTTTGTCCAGCTTACCATACCTTCCAGTGTCCAGCTATATATCCGTTTTATGTTCACTGTTTATATAAAGCTTGTAGCCAATCAGTTTAGTCCTGAAAGACAACATTGGTTAACTCATTCACCCCCTACATATTTAAGCTGGACTTGTCCAGTCTTTAATCTGGTAAGGTTTAAATGTGAGTGAAGTAGTGAATAGGTTAAGTGTGGATATATCAATGTAAATGTACTGAGTCGACTCCTGCTGTTTTTATTTGCCTTCTCTTTTGTTTCTATTTTGAAAAGTTAAACTTTGAACAACTATAACTCTGTAAAATACATCGCTAACATGTGCTTTTTGTGGAATACTTCTCCTAAAAAGGACTTTCACGCATATAACGTAATTAGTGACAGTGGTACTGATATTGATTACCTCGTGGGTACCGTCTACCATAAAAGGATGTATATCAATCTAAAAAGATCAACCAATCAACACTTGCGTATTTTTAAGTGTCTCGCATACATTGAAATTGCTAGTAGACGGCGACAAAATGTATTGAATTAAGTTATTGTATCCAATGCTATAATAGGAAGTGCATTATTTCTAAGCAGTGCAAGATGTCTCTCTAGACTTCTAGGGGTAGGTGCGGAGTGATGTGTGTATGTGTTGTTGTTAATTTGTTTCCTTCATGGTGCACAGTATATATGCACAACTGATGAGCTGTATAGCTTAAAGTAATAAATGAACTTGACATACTTCAGTAAATTATAGATAATGTTTAGTTTACCGACACTGATATCTCTCTTCTCACTTATTTGTTCTACATGTCACGTTTGAGTTAAAGCCACGTAAAGCTGCCTTGTAACTGTGTGTAAGGATTAGTTCTCTCCGAGAACAGTTTCTGTAGAAGCTAGAATGTATGCAGAACTTACCCGTAGGCAGCTGGCAATGCTAACAATGAAGTGATGAATGCACGGTCATGCACGACCAACAGATGGTAGAGTAGGAATGCAGCTCTACACTTATGTGTGTATACGCAATGCTACCTCTATGGGTACATTAACATTAATCGTTAGTTAGGTGAAGACTGCAATTTACTATTTAATTATATATCATTCTATTTGTTCATAACAAGTGAAAACTACACATTAAATCAAATAGAAGAAAAACTCTACACACACTTACGTTTTTAATAATTTGTTTTTGCACATACAATCACTCAAAAAAGTGTTTAAACTATTTTCATTTTGTGTATTGCAGAAGCTGTCAAATAAACACAGAATTAGCAGACCCCTCCATTGCAATACCAGGTGATAACAAATTACATTAAGCACGAACACAGCTGAGTCTGTGTTTTTATTAACAAACTCAGTTGTATGGCACATCATAACGTAAAGATATTAAATAAACAGAAGCACTCCCATTCCGAATGCCTCTCTAAACACTGAAGTAAAAATTACCTTAGTGCAAATGTATTGATGCATTAAATAAGATACCGGAAACCATGACAACACAACGTCAGTTTTAACTACCTTTGATAATAAATTAGATTTTTAAAAACAGCTGAAATCTTAAATCAAGCATTAGTGACGATTTTAGATTTAACATCTTTCGTGTAATAATCTTGAAATTTTGACTCATCGCCAAAGATAAAATGCTTGTGCATTTGCGGGGCGTATTTGTTGGCTGGTGGGTTTTTGCCGAGTACGTCTGCCACGATTCTGAGCGTATGCGGTGCTCCCCCACAGCACAGCCCTATGTAGGTAGCCCCTGCTGCCTTTGCCTCCTGTGCGAAAGTCCGGATCTCGTCTCGGGAACTTAGACACTTCAACAGTTCCAACGGAAAGGCTTTCTTTTCTGGAATTTAAAAAAATAAATACAATCACTATTACGATATAACGGCTCTAGTCCTTGTGTTAATGACAGCTGTATGTGTCCCTATAACCGGAACGGTAATCACAGGAAATTAATCACAGTTGCATCTATTTATTTCCGTTTTCCAAACCGGAAATGTCCATATGTATTTTTAAAATCATTTAGACGAAGATGAAATATGACTGATTGCAGCTAAATGGTGAAAATATCGAGGAATCCAGTCGGTTTTTATTTTGTTTTTTTTTAACACAATATCCTGCCTTTGTCCGTATTATTTTGAGCTTCAAACATATTACTCTTTCATCTGTTAACTAATTCAATATAGTTTTGCGTGACAATTGCTACAAAACTACTTTGTATTAATTTTCTCGTTCATTTGCCCATCATTAGTGAAATATCAAAATCTATCAAACCCTTCCTCAGTTTTCCACCAAGTTCGAATACCACATATTACAGCACGGGTTTTCGCCGCCTTAAATTACTCAGGAAACAGGAGTATTAAATTAAAACTAAACAGGTGTGGCAAACATTAAAGGCAATGCGCCGCCGGAAACGATCTTCACGGTGTT